GTTGTATTATTCAAAAGATTTCTTTGGCTTAAAGGACTGTACAACTTGTTTCGCTGTACTCAGGTCTTTTCTAGAAAATGTTGAATCTTTGCAATAGTTTTTTATGCTAGCAAGAGTTTGACTCTCTGCTCAGTCTCAAACTCACAAATCCCTCTGTTTGTCAGCATGCCAGAAGGTCATGCTCCCGATAGCTAATGAGCATGGTTGTGAACTGGCTACAAGACAGTATTTCTTGCTGAGGCAGCAGGGTGAACCAGTGGTCAAAGTCTATCGGATGTAGATGTCTAATGACTTATGATAATGCACAGCAAAGCTCTGGACCAGCAGTATCTTTCTCAAACATTGTGTGTTAGTTCTATTAGAAAGTTAGGTCCATTTACATTTTCTTCTGCTTATCCGAGGTAGTGCCGCGGTGGCAGCAGGCGCAGTAAGTCAACCCAGACTTCCCTCTCCACAGTAGCGTTTACCAGCTCCTCCTGGGGATTCTGAGGCATTCCCAGGCTAGCTGGGATATATAATCCCTCCAGCGAACTCTGGGTCTGCCCCGCCCCTGTCACCTCCCTGTTGGGCATGCCCAGAAAACCTCTAAAGAGAGGCGTCCGGGAGGCATCATTATCAGATGCCCAAACCGCCTCAGCTGGCACCTTTCGATGTGAAGGAGTAGCGGCTCGACTCTGTGCTCCCCCTGAATGTCTGAGCACCTCATCCTATGTCTAAGGCTAAGCCCAGCCACCCTCCAGAGGAAGCTAATTTGGCCGCTTGTATCCACAATCTTTTTCTTTCAGTCCCTGTACCCATAGCTCCTGACAGGGACTGGATGGCTCGAGCAACGGCCCAGGGACCCCATATTATTATACAGTATATATACATATTCCCGCAGAACCCCCCACATGATCCCCTGAGGGACACAGTCATAAGCCTTCTCCAAGTCCACAAAACACATGTAGACTGGAAAGTTTGGTTAGTTATTCTATAAAAGTGTTTGCGGGGAAATCAAGAATAGTTGACAACTCCCTCACTCCGTCTTTCCCATGTCAGAATTGAAAAAAAGGACTGACAATGTAACAAGCCCTGCCTGTTCCACACAGCCATTGGCCAGGTGTGGAATAAGATACAGTTACAGAACTTGGACTACTCTTAAAGGTACTGTTTAATTTCAGTCTTTCACATAAGTAGTTTTTCCACTTTTATCTTGTGCATTAGTGCAACGGATGGAATGCCCTCTAGGAGAGTCTTAAGTTTGATATCCCATTTTTTTACAATTAAAGCATACTGCCAACCTCCTACAACTCTGACCACTTCGTCATATGGATCAACCCAGAAAAAACATCATAAGGGATTTAACAATACTTGAATACCATAACTAAAAAGTAATACCAATATGGACAATTTAAATCGATTTGACAAAAAAAAATATTGCAATACTCTTTCATAACCATAGAGCAAACAGCAGTATGTTGAATACATCCTGCCCTCTGTCTGACCCAAGCAATTCTCAGACAAACCATGACCTGCTGGGAACAATCCTCTGAAGGAGGATTCCTTTGCTTTTGGAGCCAGCCACAAATAGAAAATCAAAAAACTGCAGGTTTTTGCACTTCCACATTGGGCTCTTTTTCAACACCAGAGGTTGCTGCTTGTCTGTTATTGTTTTTTCTTTTAAATAGTGCATTTGTAAGCATGCATATTAGCTAACTATATGCCTGTGTTTAATTTCGATAGCCTTTTTTTCCCCAAATAGTCTATCTTGCCTTGTGACCAGTCAGTCAATCAGTCAGCTAACCACTCAGCCAGTCTGTCAGTCAGTCAGATGGTTGGTCTCTCGGAGTGTGTGTCCTATCAACCCAGTTTCCTGTCTCTCAGGGTGTCATATGTTGTCAGACCAACAGCTAGGCATTCCCATTAGAGTCCATTTACTAGAGCAGAGCCTGTTCCAGTGAAAGTCTGTGGAATATGGAACCTGTTACCAATTGCATATGGCATGTTGTGAGTAAGTGGACATAGATTATATCTTCATGATTACTGAGCATGTAGTTTATGCGAAAATGAACATGCTTGGTGAAAACAACATCAAAAGACTGCGGTGTTACTTTCCATTAAGCTCTCCAGTTCACAGTTTGTAAAAAATCTAATGATCACACAAAGTTATCTGGAACATTTGAAGTTAAGCATTCTCAAGATCCACAAACAATTTAAACATCTAATTTAAAAGGGTTACTCTAATGAAAGAATAAATGCCATCATAAAAGATCCTGATAGTTATTATTTTTATAAAAAATATGATGTCTTCTCTATCTCTCTTCTTTTCTCTTTTCCCTTCTTGTGTCTCACCTTGGTAGTCAGGATACAGATGCAGTCCATTATCACCAGTCCGACTGGCAAACTTTCACGGAAACGTGTTTCAGCCGCAACTTTCCTGTTCCATCACTCAGCTGCTTGTTGCTGTTGGTGACCTACTGTAGACTGTACATCTCTGTCACCTCCTCTTCGTTATATTTTATCCCTCAAGCTCTCTCGTCCCGTCCTCATGTTCACTCCACCTGTCCTCTCTCATAAGAGCAATCAGACAGTAGTTCTTTGTAAAAATGGAGGCTGACTCAGAAAAATGGCAGCTGTCCCGGTGCACCTCCACCCGCCTTCTTCTTTTCTAGCAGCTGTCTTGGTTTTATGGCAGCTGGTTTCCACGTTTTGACCTCAAAAAGTGCATCGCTTAGAATACATATCTGAGCACACCCAAAACTCACTCTGCATACCAAAAAAACAACAGGCAAACATGCTGAGACCGGTGCAGAAACGCAAACAACTGGATGCACAGGTAAACATTCACACAGACAGATGTAAGAACACACAACACTGCATATTCTACAAACACACACACTCATATCACTCTGCTGTTTTATCAGGTCAGTCTCTGGCAGTAGTGAGGGGTTAGACTGAGTGAACAGCGACTGCAGTAAAGCAATGCATGCTCTACTTTCAACACTGACGGGCAAAGTTAAAGCTCCATATGTACCCTTGAGCTTCACTCAAAATAATGCACGCCTCATAGATACACAACATCAGACAAATGATGTGTGATTTAAACATGCAACACCCATACAGTACAAGACCAACATGGCAGAAAGAGAAAGTTAGAATATTATCAGTTGTCAAACAACTCTTGCATATACTGTGCATACAATTTAACATGTGTTTCTACTCTGTGGTGCTCTACTTCTGTCGGATTCCCCCAGCCTGCCTTCCTTGTTGGTTCTCTCCTGATGCTCACCACTGCCAACAGATGGTTGTCAGTATACTCTCTGCATTGTGCTAATGAACATTATAATTGCGTTATCGTTTCTTCTTCAATCTTTTAGCACTAATAAGCCTATTCTAGTCACATATATTGAGCATTGCAACTGTAAACAATAATTACCTCTTCACAGTTGTTTGTCAACGCCAACCACAGAAGATGATGTTAACATCCATGTCTTTATAACATATGAGGTTGGCTAAGGCACTTAGGGGATAGAATGTGTATTCATTACCAATATTAAAGTCATCACCATATGGACATGTACCAATCATTCTACGATTGGATCATTTCCAATTAGAAACATGCTGTCATCTGTTTGAGATGGTTTTACAGAACAGCACAGAGTACTGACATAGATGTAGTTCATATAGAGGATAGAGGTGAATGGACAGAGGGACAGATGCTAAGAGAAACAAACAGACACAATCTGAAAAAAAAAAAATCTTAACAATTTATCCAAGTAGACAATTGTTTGAAATGTTGTAAATAGTGTTTGAATAATTTGAACGTAATAAAGCACTTTGTGCAAAAGAAAAAAAAAGACGAGAAAACTAAAGTAACCACACCATTTTCCAGGATTAGGACAAATTCATTAGATACGTCTGAGCAGCACATGGTTAGGCTGACAACAACAATTCCCAGCACAGAACAAACATTGCTTGATGCATACACTGTTTTAAAACGAACTTTCAAGCAAGTAAGTTAATGACATTAACTTAGGCTATCGAAATTAAATTGACATTATGTCAACACAATTTTCCAACATGTGGATGAACAGCATCAGAGTAACAACGCACAATGTAGAATGTAAGCCTTTTGTCAAACAGCCCACAGCACAAATTTCCATTTCAGAAAGATAAACCTAGTTGCATGCACCCTGAGTTGTAGCTTACTCGACTGGACGACAAAATTCAATTGATTCTGTTTGTCATATTATGTAATACAATGTGAGCCATCATTACAGTCTGCCAATCCACAGTACTTCTGCTCTCTGAAGCCACCAGCAACCTTTCAATACTTTTAACAATAGGTTCAGTTGTTAGTCCACAGTTAAACATGTTTGCCCTAAATCAAAACTGTTTTAATGGAGAGGACGTGATACATCAGAACGGAAGCAACAAATTCAATTTACAATAGTTCTATGTCATTTGATTGTAGTTAAACCACAAATTTCAGTCAATTATCCAAGTATAATGTCTCTCATTACAAAATTTGCTGTCGCATAGTAGAAAAACATCCTTTGGAACACAAAAAAAGCCATAAAAAAAGACAGACGTCAGTCATGTGTGTGGAGATTCCAAGACAACCACAGCAGTGTCTTGTCCAGACAGCAATGTTTAGCCTATTTCTGCCCACCAAGTTATTACAACGTGAAAGATCCAAGAAAGATAATATCTAAATATTTAAAAAAGAGAATATGATGAAACTATTAATGCCATGAAAAATAAAATCAGTGTCACCTGAGCATCGACAAATGAACAACCAAACAAGATAATGTGGGTCATGTTAGTTTTTGCATCACTGTCAAGCAAAGACACAACCTCAATAGTCAAACAATTGTGCAGAGCTTCTGTAACCTCAAGGTTGCCACCCAAAAAAACCGTCATCCCCCACCTTTAGACAGAGGGCATTAGCATCAAACTCTGCTATTACATGTGCAGAGGTTTCCTGTAGCTATGGTACGAAACAGCGACAGATGTCTTACCTTGTTGGGGGTCAGTGGGCTTGTAGCTGGCCTTGGGCTGGCGGGACTTGGACTAGTGGAGAAGACCTTTACCGGCCCAGGGCTGGTTGGACTGGGAACAGAGATCAAAGAGAGATTGTGTCTGGAGGTGAACTCTGAAAACTGTCAGTAATTATTCTACACTACAGCACCTGAATTCCTGTAAGCAAGAGTGTGTCGCTATATGATACCCATCACCTTAATCATGTAACATGAATGAACAACATAATACAATTTACTTTGTAATTCACTTAAACTACTTACCACCCAAAGTCACAAAAATACTCTAGATTAAACAAGGGACATGCACGTTTAGTCACTTAACAATTACAGGTTGTCAACCTTGCATATAGGCACCAGAATTGGTTAGTTGGTTACTTATATCCAGTTGGTTCTGGCCTGCAGTATTGGTTAATTTATTGTCTCTAAGCTGTAAAGCAGCGACTCACTTTTGCACTGAAAGTTTTGGAGATGATTTATCAACTAGAAATATCATTTTCTTTAATCTGGTTTGCGTAATCACTAACAGTTGAAAATATGCCCATATCTTGCACATACCTCAGAAGAGGCCCCTTAGTCAAAGGCCCTGCAGGAACTGTGTTGATGTGGCTGCTGAAGGTAAATCTTTGGTTGGGGCTGGTTGGACTCGTGCTGGGACTGACTTTGCCTGGGCCTGGGTTTTTGCTTATTGCAAGAGCGGTAGAGATTATAGCAGCGTCTGACACTTTTTTGAAACCCGGGCTGGTGACTGCAGTAGCAGTAGCAGTGCTTGTGTGTTTCGGTTTTTCTGGAGTGGTTGGAGACACAAGGCCTTGGACGGTGCTGGAGACGAGGGCTGAGACAGTCACCAGGTTGAGGTCTGCAGAGACAGGACGGCCTTGTGGATTGGCAGAGGAGGTGGAACTTTCTGCAGAAACATCAGAGTGTGTGGCAGTAAGATGAGGCTTTGTTCCATTAAGTGATACTCCAGGAGGTGTTCTTATTGAGCCTGTGGAGGTTTCTAAACCATTCAGTCTGAATACGGGTGATATGGCAGCAGAGGGAGAGGAGGCTTTAGGATTATCTGTTACAGATGGTCTGGAGGACTCAGGTTGGACAGGAGGACGAGGAGCACGGTACTTGACTTTGGCTGGCTGTGACTGAGGTGAAACGGACGGTGTTGTAGGGGAGGATGGCTTCGTTGTGGACGCTGATGACGGGATTGGTGGGGCAGGGGACTTGAATGACCTGGGTTTAGGGGTCAAAGGTTTTGGCTGGGGTGATCCTTCAGAAGCAAGAGGGCTCAGAGGACCAGAGGAAGGCTGAGCTGAGAGCTCTGCTGGCGGATTAAAGGATTCCGGTGGACTGTCTGTGTCGTCTGCAGAAGACTTGCTGTCGGCAAGGATGGTCAACTCGTAGTATTCCTGAATGTCTAAAAGGAGAAGAGCAGAGATTAGAGCCATGAAGAGTGACTGAAGCGTGTACAGACAAAGGGATTAGAAAATAAGGTCATTAGACATTAAACAGATAAAGAATGACAGTATGAATAGAAATAATAACTTATTTCAAAACAAACAAAATAAATTAAATACAATTCATTTCGTCACTTTCAAGAGTTTTTTTCTCAAAGGATAGGCACAGTAGAGCTGATTCAATTAGGTAATTATTTGATAAATGCAATAATTAAGAATCGATTAATCTTGAATAACTTAAAGCTGCAGAAACATGCAATAGCTGCAGGGTAAAGAACATTTTGGTACATTCAAATGTGTCTTGCATCTGAAGACGCTAACCTGATTGTATACCCCAAATATCAGCTGCTGCCCCCAGAGGCTTATTCATTTGCAGAAGTAACTGTGGGGGAGTTGTCACAATTGTCAACTGATGCCATCTTTGGGGGCTGAAATTAAACGAAATTAATAAGCAATATGAAGAATATTTCCAATGTGTTTTTGATGTACTGACTTAAACAACTGATCAATAAAGGGGTGAATGGATAATCAGCAGCAGATTTGTGTATTACAGATTATGTTATTGGTAGAGAAACTAGAGGAACTGCATCTTATACACTGTTGACATCTAGTGGCAGCTTAAGGTTACTGCAACCCCACTTTAATAGAACAGTGGCTCCAAGTGTTTCCCACTTAAAAGAGGAACGGTTTACTTTATGATCACAGGTTTATCTTCCACTTCTCCCACACAGAACAGACAGTCAATTTTACTCTAAATCATAAACAGGATTGTGAGCTTAGGCTGCAAACTGTAGTGGTCTTAATGGAGATAGTGAAGACAAGGGGGGGTGTACAGTTTAAGGCAGCAGGAAGGAAGGGGGGACAAATTAAACAATTCTAATAACTTATTCTCTGTGTTAAATGTGTGATTTTTTGAGACCAAGTCCCAATTTGTGACTTAAGCTACTTAAAGTTTTGACTTTGAGTTTATTTACTTAATGCATTCTAGTTTTCTTACTCGTTTTCTGGTATAATATAAACAAAACCAACAATATATTATTTATACACAGTCACATATTCAAAGTCAAAAAATGTTAACACCAAAGTATATATAAAATAGACAGCACTGTGTACCTGTAAAACCTGCTAGAGCTTTATTAAAGGTCAAAATCACAAACAGGAACTAAGTCCCATGTTTAGTCAACAGGACACACAGACGTGCGCACACATGCTTCCACACAGGACAGAGAGAGGAGAATTACTCATCAGCACTGAAGGTGTGGGCGTGTCATGGGAACTCCAGTGAACCTGTTTGACAGCACAGGTTTTTTTCTCCCAGTAAGCCCCATTTCACCAGAAGCAGAATCAACCAGGGGACACAGACTGTCAACTCTAGTGAGGAATTTATTCTTGCTACACATTCTCTGCATTTGTGAATACTTACTACAAAGGGGCCTGTGTTTTCGATGACAGGCCACATCACGCCTACATCCTTGTGTTCTGAAAAACGTTTTCTAGTGTCATGCAATATCCAAACATCTCAAACTAGCATTACAACTTGCAGAAAGCAAACACCGCTCCTCTTCTGCTCTTATGATAAGTCTGGCCCCACGTCTTCTAGCATAATAACCAAACCTGTCTGTCCTAATCTGAACAAAAGGACACACAAGCCTTTGAATTCCAGACACTCAGATCCATTGATGAGCTGCTTCTGACTGTCCTAAGGTCTAAAGTAAAGCTCAGCAAACAGAACCTTTTTAATATCAGCGCCAAAGCTCTAAAAGGCTCTTCCTTTGTATATGTACAACTTTAAGAATATAACGTCTTTAAGAATAATGTCTGATTATGTCTAGAAATTAAAACACAGAGGAAAAATAGGTTAAAAAGAAGGTCCTATTGGACATTTTATGGAATTGTTTTTTTCTTAACAAAACAAAATGATAATGTTAAAAGTAAAATTGACCTTGACCTTAACCTTTGGTAACGAACATCTAACCAGTACATACTACACAAACATCTAATTACTGTCCCAAGTTTGTATTCCCTAATGGCACTCCTGAGAAATAATGTTCCAAGACTGGACAGAAAAACTACCAGACCCTAAAAACATAATACCTGTCGACTCTTACATCTAAAGTACTGCAGCATTCAAAAAATGTGTTCATTTGTGCTAACTGTGTTAATTTCAATAATTTGCAGTTTGGAAATACATGTTGAATTTGGCCTTAGCCGTGAATACTGGAAAACATGCATGAAAATACAATTTATGAAGCTTAAAAATAGATTTTATAGTTAACAGAGTGAACAAGAAAGACTAAGAGTGATTCTTAATCTGCATTCTGCACTGTGAGCAACACAAACAATTAATTAACTGAAGAACCCTTTCACTCGCTATGACGTTTCCTAACATCACCGGACAAATAGAAACTGCTGGTCAGCAGATTAAAGCTTACACAGGCTGCAAAATAAAAAGGTTTTTAATGACTGGATGTGTAAAAGAACAACCAGCTGGGAGGGTATATGAACAAACCAACATATACTCTTACCAAGCAAAGCGTTGAACAGCTGACTTTGGAAGACAGTGATGACTCTGTCCAGAGACTGTGTCAGCTGGTGGTCTTCTTCCCCAATGCCCTGTTTGGACCGGCCCTGGTTCTGCTGCCTCTGATCAAGCTTAGCCCGGTACTGCTGGAGAAGCTCAAGGGCTCGTCGAGCATCTGAAACCAACATGAACGAGTAAAACAAAACAAAAACTTTTCCTAAAAAAACAAAAATATGAATGACAGGAAAGGAAAGAAAACAAAACCTCCAGGCACTCTTACAGTAAGTAGAGCAAGAAGATTAACTACTGTCCATTAAAAGCAGCTACTTAATTGAGGATTACTTAGGTTCAAAACTGGTTAAGATCTTACAGGTTCTTAATCAGGGTGAAGTTAATAAAAGACGGATAACAACACATGGCTCTGTAAAGTGAATGTGGACACAGGTGCTGGTTTGTAAACGGGCTTTTAATATAACTCATCGAGTGAAGCAATATAATATCATTCCCCTTCTCTCAACTATACTGCCTGTTGTTTCAAGTGTCTAACATCATTATAAATTACAAATATGTAACCCATTTAAAGTATAAAAGCCCTTAATTCAGTCCTTGTTGCTTGCATGTAACTCATTTTGATTCAGAAAGTTGAACCAAGTTGCAAATTATGTACTTTTATTTCACTAGTCACTAAAATGTACTTCGCACTGAAATTGAAAACCAAATGTTTATGCAGTGGGAAAACAGTGTCCCTTTGTGTTGAATACTAAAAATCCAGATCGCTTTATAGCTATCTGCATTCATTGAAATGGCACCTACTATTACGTTTTTATTACCATTGTTTTATGTTACTAATTCAGGAGGGCAAAAGGGCAATATATTTTATGGTGCAAAGGAGGGCTGCAGAGTGCATACCAGGCTCACTGGCGCTCTGAACAGCTGATCAAACCGGAAACACTCACAGAGCAACATCAAACTAGGAGTGACAGCTTTCAGCTTCAAAAGTAAAGTTGCAGTGAAAGATGTAATGCCAGGCAACGTGCAAATTGGACGTTTAAGCCATTATTCACGTCTCTATAACCACACACATAACAAGCTGAACATGCCAAACACATTGATGAGTTTCCTCTTTTCATGACATCCAGTTGGATATTAACTAACAGACTGTAAACCAGTTAAAGCAGATTTAAAACACTGCCTCGGGGATAACTTGTGCGCCGAATTTACCACAGTGTCTGAATAATTAGGCTATGTGAAGCTCGCTTATTAAAATCTAAGGTTAGTATGCGTAAAGTGATAAACAAGTTGGCATTAAATCGCGGGTGTTTTAAACTGAGATACGTCCTGAAGCGTGAACGTTAACAGAGCTTTACAAACCTGAAACCTTTATAGTGGTCCAAACTAATACTGTTCCACACCAACAACAAAACAAACGAAATGTGAGGTGAAAACAAGCTGCAGAGACATAAAGAAAAACATTCAAAAACATTTATTTACCTTTCTGTTGAACAGGCATGTCGACTCAGTCCTCCTCCTCCTTCTTGTGTCTGTGTCACTGTGACAGTCTGTTGTTACAGATGTGTGTGTGTGTGTGTGTGTGTGTGTGCGCGCCTGTCGCGGGATAGCCTGCCTCTAAACTGGGACACCAAAGTCACACTACAAACAGTTTGCAACCTACCGACATGTCGTTTTATCAACAAAAAACTTTTGCAAAGCGTCCGAAAATGTCTGAAAACACCGTCAAAAGGCGACGAAGGTGAGTGGAATTGTCATGACAACCGCTGAGAAATTCCATAGCAACCGTCGAAGTCCGTTGAATGACAGCTACCGCGTGGACTTAGTACCTGGAAGCTGCCCTTTGTTTTTTTGTTCTCTTTTTATCCTCTTTCACTTTAACTCTCCCTCTGTCCTACTACTCCTCCATTTCTTCATTCATGTGACGAGTGAAAACGCTGTCAGACCGGTTCTTAGGCGGTCCTGTGGGATGACACACACACACACACACACACACACACACACACAACACACACACACACATCTTGAAGTAGGCCTACCTAGAGGACCAGCACACACAGATTCATGCTCACTCTTCAAACCAGCATTTAAGCAGGTTTTGAAAGGCTGTAAACAGTTTTGTCATGTTAAACAGGTGTGTGCAGTGGATGAAGGCCATGTCACTCCCAGGGCACACACAGGATTTACATCTAATCCACTCAACTCTGAGTATAGATTTGGGTTTGCAGAGACTCTATGAAACCTCTCCCCACCTGCTTATGCCAGGATGATTAGATAATACATTTTACAAATTAATATTAAATAGCAAAATGGCTTTTGCACTACGCAGACAATTTATTAATAGTGTTAAATATCCCACACGCACAAAACACTTAAACACATTGCACTTACACAACCTAGGAAGCAAGGTGTATCCTCTGAGAGATTCAGCTGACATGACACAGGTGTTATCCCACCATCTGTACACCCAAGCCCATCCCTGTGTGAGTTCAGTGGTTTTTGTCATGGTAAATAGTTGTATTGTGTTAAATAGATTAAAGCCTCTCTGTCCTTATTCCTGCCTATCCACATCAACTATCAGAACATAGCTTTTACAGAAACAACGCCTTTGAAAAAGCATTAAACAAAGACAAAAACTTAAGAAAAAAATAATTAATAATAATAATTTGTTGGGCACAAGGAATTCAGTCAACGTTCAATTGGTAATAGGCTAATATCCTGATTGTTGTTCACAAAGTTATTAATCCTTTAATCATTGTTGGCGATGAATAAACTGGAGAAACTATTGAAATCTCGAGGGACTGTAAGCTTTTTTAAAAACAACTTATTTAACTCAAAATCTTCCCATAGTTGGACCAAAACTATTCTGACCAAGATTACAGCTAGTTTAAAATAGCCTACCAACCTATGACAATAATGTAGCCTAACTATATCTTTAGGTAGCTACTGTCACAGTTAGCAGGGATCTTAGGACCTATCATAAACTGTAAATAATAAGGGTCCTATTTACTCTAACAGGCAATGATGTTCGCTAAATGGTTAAACACTAACTGAATTTACATCAATGCTAAATTGAATTTCAAAAATGTACCTGATGCTAAAAGACAAAGATAATTAGCCTTGTAAATAAAAATGGCTAACTTAAGTTTAGCAATAGAATATGCTCACATGAAAAAACATTAATGGGAACTTCAAGTTATAAATATAACTTTGGTGTCATGTGTTTTTTTTTTTTTTAATGTAGTTAAGAGTAACCTAATTTGAAATGAGACATTTCAGACTTGGTAATGCTTTGAAGACTCCACCATCTTACCCATTGTGAGATAAGAAGTAAAATATCACTTCTTATTTGTTTGTGAGATAGAAACAGATCCAGGAATGCATTGAGCCTAACTTAACTCAAAATGAAAAATGTGCATTTTGAAAACTCCAGAACATCATCACTTCAGACAGACTTCATGTGGGTTGATGTTTCAAGCGAATCTGTTCCGTTATAATATATATATACATGGCCAGGCTGTTTCACTTTTGATAGAGCTAAGCTAACTTTATCCCCCTTACTTCCATCCTTGCAATAAGCTTGGCTAAATAAATCCCAGACCTATTTGTGCACTGGACAAACACAGAGGAAATTGATATTGATCTTCTCATCAATCAAAAAGACAGCTAGCAGGTTGATTTTCCAAATTGCAGGAGCGTACTGGTATTTTTTTTCAGTATCTGTAACATAAATCTGTTTCATATTATGTGGTACAGTAGTAGTAGTAGTAGTCGGAGTATAAACACATAAAGGCAAAATTAGGAATCTTTTGATGCTTGTAGATTCATATTATTCCTTCAAATTGGACAGAATATATTGTATTTTTGTGTTTGTATAGACAGAGGATCATCTGTGACATTACTTCATCTACATATACACACACTCATTACACTCATGGCCAACACAGACAGCAGTTTGAATGGAGGTCATGGACCCAGTCTCTGGTATTGTTATTGATCAGGTCACTAGAGCTTATTGACAGCTTTGGTGGGTGCACAGAAACTCTTGCTCTGTATCACTTACACACTCACACACAAGGATAGCAGCATAATACATGAGTCAGCGTGGGCAGAAATGTATGCATGATTGTGCCAGTGGGCTGGTCAGCAACGACACAGAAGTATAATTTTGTCCAAACCAGTGTGTAAAAGACAGAGTAAAGAGGAACGAGAACAAAAGAGCATCCTTCTGCTTTCATCAGTGTGTGTGTGTAGATGTGCGTTTCTGTGTGAACTATTACCCTCCTTTGTTAATTGTCGGCTTGTACCACAGTAAGCAGAGTTGTTCTACAGAGAGCATTGACGCCAGGAGAACAGTAGGGAATGGTACAAGGCAGATAGGGGGAGACAATTTTGAAATGAATCCCTTCCTTATTCTAATCCAGTTGTGCATTAGTCAACACAATTAAGTTGTATATAATAATGCAGTTAGTAAGTGATAGTGGTAGAACATGCACTTATTTCCATAGCTAGCTGCTGTTGCTTGTAACAATCTTAATCTGACACCTAATCCACTCAGGCTCATCCAACCCCAAGGCTCTCTTCTGTACAATAAATAAACTCCTCAAACCCAGTGACAACACCTCGTCCTCTCACCTCTTCACAGTTGATAAATGTAATGCTTTTCTTTCATTCTTTCAATCCAAAATTGACAGCATTTACAGCAGCTTTAACACTCTCACTGTCCCCTCTTCATCCCCTCGCCTCATCACCCAACCTCTGTCTACGTTCTCCCCTGTGTCCCCAAATGAGCTTTCCATCATCACCTCTAGCATGAAGTCCTCCACCAGTATTCTCGACCCCATCCCATCCAGTCTCGTCAAAAACTGTCTCCAAGCCATCGCGCCACTCATAACCTCAATCGTCAACTCCTCCCTCTGCTCTGGTTCAGTACCCAAAACTCTCAAACTGGCAGCCATCACCCCCATCCTCAAGAAATAGCCCGCCTCCGTCCGCTGCTTTCCTATTTATCAAATGTGTATTTTTAACCCTGGATAACAGTGAAATAAGAGGTCTACAAATATTTTAGGTTTGTAAATACACTAAATGCTGTAAAAAAAAAAAGTTGGAGGTTAGAGAAGTCAGGTTGCTAGTGAGCAGTTGGCTAACAATACGTTTTTCAAGGATTTTCAGTGTTCAAAATCCAGTTAGATTTTTAAATATAGACCAAACTATGATTTGAGCTACTAATAAATACAAAAACTGAGAAGTCTACTTAAAACCTCTATTCATAAGTCAGCTTGAAAAATGAAGCTGTCCCTGTATGATCCACAGCTCAGATAAGTGTCAAGAATAGATGAGATGGAGGGATAGAGAGGATGAAGAATAGTCTGGCTGTTAGACTGATGAACAGAGAGACAAATGAACATATGCTGAGATGATGAGAGCTATACTGAGTTTAATCCACAGATAAGCAGAGGGAACTGAACTCTTTCCTTTTATTCATCCCCCACTTCCAAGATAGAAAGGCCAATTTGATATTGAAAAATTGTCTTGTTTATTTTTGTGTGGTACCAACTGATGTATGTTAACTATTTTTCTATTAAAGCTGGTAAATGTTTACCTTTATGACTTGTCGCTGAGCCTCATTTGCTAATGTAGTTGAACCTATCGTCCCTTTAAAGTCTTATATTGCTAGGATTAGTATTTTTATGTTACAACAGCTTCTTTTCTTGTAAGTATTCCAGCAGTTTGGACAAATTGAGGCGTCCCAAGAACAGCATCACAACAGTGGCAGCTTTATAATTTGGCAGGTCTTCTTCTTGATGCTTAATGACAGTGGGAAAACAACCTTAGGTTGCATCAGTGTCACCAACCGGTATGGATTAAACATTTTGTAAATCTACAGACACTGAGGACGGCATAACAAAGGATACAAACACCGTCATCCTCCTGGTAATAGAAGATGAGGTCGCCCCTCCAGCGTGTGGCACTCTCGGCGACGCCTATATGGCCTATGCCAAGAGCTGACCCTGGCTTTATGCAATCAACATTGACTACCAAAAGGAAGTGCAGTATACATTTAAGGTCATAACAGAATAACCTAATGAATATCGGTGGTGACCACTGCCCTCTTCAAGGGTCTGAGAAAAAGACTTCTTCCTAAAGCTGTGAGGTCGGGAGTTTTCTGAAAGCGGCCAAAAATATTTGGACATTGTATCACAGATCTTTTCTGAAATATTTGTTTTACCACAGTAAGATCACCTCATTAAATGTGATATTGTAATCTAGCAATAAGTAGGTCTTTTACCTGCTTTTTGTAATGTTAAAAGACAAAGAGTAAGGTCTTTTACCTGCTTTTTGGAA